ACTGTGTGCATCAATAACTTTTCAGACTAATGTCGTACCCATTAATGTTATGTACAAAGTACTGTGTCTACAGCGACAAAAAGCTAACAAAAACAAAGTGTTTATTGAAGCGTAAATGATTGAATCTACATGGTTTTAATAACATGGGAAATTATTTAATGCATTTTTCTTAAAATGAAATCGAAAGATAAACAAACGGCTTTTTTCTTCTTTCAAAACAAAATTGTCAAGATTATTCATTATGTTTTATAATAGAAACCGAGAATTAAAATCTATATCGATTTTATCGAAAATGTTTTTTCTTCTTAGAAGGCGTTCAATTTGTTACAGTCTTAATGGATATTTTCTCATTTTAATATGAAAAACGCGAATCGAAATTGATTTATGGAAATGGATGGACATGGTCTACTTCAGAGCCGATTAGAGAATTACTGAAACGGAAATTGAAACACTGAAAAACAATGTTGATTTGTAAACGAATTGATAAAAAGGCGAATTAAGGACAAACGCTTAGCTTCTGCCAAGTGAAAAAGTATTGAGATTAAAATTCGAAATGAAATCTCTACGAGAGAAAAAGCGCTCATCCATCTTTAATAGGTTTTATGTCTCTTCTTGTTGTTCTTATGTTTTGAGTCCATGTTCACGGTTCATTTTTATTTGCTCATCGTGCAAGGGAATATTTTATTGGCATGAATTTTGATGGCTTTCACACTTGGCAGCAATTCAAAGCGACTGGCTGTCTTTACTCATTGACCTACGCAAAATGTTTTACTATTAAGATATAATTGGTGAACGTATTTTAACCCTTTGCATTCAAAGTCGAACAAACACATGATTTCCAATTGAATTTTCGTCGCGATTCGTCAATAGACGGAATATTGTGCACAAACAATGGAATTAATTAAATAATGCCATTGAATGGGCAAATGGCAAACAGACTATTGTTTACTGTTAATTCGTATTTGGCTATAAAATCAAAATAAAGTGCGCTCATACCGTACATAGAAAACTAATGAATTGCACAAAATATAACAAAATCATTGGCATATTGTCTAATAATATATTTTGGAAGGAACAAAAAATCTACAAATGGAAATCAATAAATCGAAATGATGGAACAAAAAGAGTAATAAATACATTGCGCTCATGTCTTGAACTAATCATAAACGTTCGTACCCTTCATGTGGCCTTCAAATAAAAAAAAACCGTCGATTTTACTAGCCGTAAAAGTGTGGTCTATTGTTAGAACCGATCGGTTTTATTGTTTGGTCAAAATCTAAATAAATCCGAGTTACTTTCTCTTAATGTCCTCACATTACCCGATAAACAAATACAAACATCTTCGATTTCATCCACATCATATCCAATGCCTAATGGTTCCATAAATAATGCAATAAAACTATACAATCCATCGCAACATGATTCATTGAATTGCTTTGAAAAGGCAAAATGCATGCTGATTATATATGACAGAAACGTCCAAAATGAATGATGATTGACCAGAAAATACTCGGGCACCGTATAATTGTAACCCACAAAACCAATAATAGACTTTCGTTTATGTGTTTATCTCCATTCTGGAGTCACCCACGTAATGAAACTTCCGAATTATTTGAATGATTTATTTTATTGTTGATGAATTATTTAACTCGATTAACAATGAAATCATTTGAAAATGTCACAAATTCTTTTTATTTTTTGCATTTTTATTCTATGCATGCCGAAAGTGAATAAGTATTTCTCACATCGTATCTCTAATTTCAAGGGAAATTTTTGATTGCCTAAGAGGTTAAATGTTGTGTCGTTAAACAAAACTGATTAAATATTTTTTTTGCAATCTACCTGTGTTCCCACTGCGAATATATATTTGATGCTTTGGTAAATTGGGCTCGGTGGCTGTACAAATAGAAACAGAAGCTTAAAAAAATGAATGAACATATTCACCATTGAATAAACTGAACACCTGAAGCATACAAATTGGACTCCATAGTAATGAAATTGAATGGCCACATTATTTTGACATCTCGGTCCAAGCTTTGAAACCACAATTTCAGCTTTTGCTGAGCAAAGAATTTTTAATATACAAGCTTGCGTATGAATTGCACCTTTTTCGAATTCTTTTAAAATCACTTTTTTTCTTCAAAATTATCAAATAATATTATGTGGCTACAAAGAAATTTTTCCTTAAATTTCATGAAGTTGAAATTTAATGGCAAAAATCACAGGTTGTAGATACCGTACTCAATACTCACTGCTGTTTACTCCAAATCAAAAATATGTTCTCTCCTTTTGAAATATATAAAATGTCAATAATAAAACCGAATGAATTAAATATTTGAATTCGATGGAATTTATGCTTCTGCTTGAAAATAATTCCCTTGGAGATTCATCGTATGACAAATGTACAGATGCAGCATCCCTAGATTGGCACTGTATTCAAATAGAATGTAGAATATTCTAGATACATTCCCACATTTTTCGATTTAGCTGGTCTCTAAATAAATGTCTCGATTTGGCTCAAGGCAAATCCGTTCTCCTGCACGAAAGCTATTTATTGTCTGCATTTAACTTCAAACGCTTTCCAAAGTGTTCGCATAAATAAATGGTTGTTGACGAAATCTGGCAAAATAAATAAGCTTAGCATGTAGAAAGATAATACTTATCAATCACTTCACGCGCCCTTACACAACTTAAAATTGTACTTCCATAATGTGTATTCCATTTTTACCGTTTATATTTTTAGAATTGACTTATTTCTGTGGAGGTGTGTGCATTTTATAATCACAACATTGTTTAATTTCATTCACTGTTAAATATTTTGTTAATCTTTGTTAGTAATTGTCTGCGCTGCGAAATGAGTTGATGATTTGTGGTTAACAGCACACGTGCATTTGTCTGTTTGTACGGTTCATGACATTGTTTTGTATCAACAACGGGAAATGAGCATTTAATCCCGATATTTGCTCATATGCACAAACTAACTGAATAAATAACAAACTTTTCTCGAATTTCTGTTGATTTGGGTATTTTATCGAGTTTCTTAAATTGTAATGGGAACACATTATGCGGAAACGCAAACCTATGCGCAGCAATCTTTGCTTTGCGTATTTATTTTATTGAGTAAAGAAAACTTTGTCATTCTAAATGGCATAGAAATTCACTTTAAATGGTATAATTTCACTTCTAGAAAATGTGCACAAATAAAACGCAAATAAATATATTTTACATTACACTGATTCGAAAAGTTGCATTCATTATGGAAAAACAGATTTATTGAAATTTAGTGCTCGAAACTGCGTCAATTTCCGAATGACACAATTTTCTGAAGTATAAAAAGAGGCATGTTCGTATATTGTAGAACGGCGAACTCGCATTACAAAAAGTTCAATTCAAACCAAATTGGTGCAGTATACAGTTACCCGAGGTGGTAACATGTTGTTGTCAATTCGAAAATAATTGTAAATCATGTACATTTCGAAACCATTTTTGTTTGTTTTTTATTATCCCGAATTCCTGGTGTTTTCGAAACTTGTTGCTTGCTATCATTTCAAAAGTTTCAAATTACCACAAATCGTGCACTGTAACAATACCAGCTGTCGGTTGGTGAAAGGCGGAAAAAATATTTAGAGTATATGCGAGCGATACCAGTTTGAATTGATTGAACCCAGTTGACACACGCAAATCGAGTTCGCGGCACATGGTTTAAATCATTCTCAATTCAACAAAGTGACGGCAAACATGATTTGTTTGTATTTTTCGCAACTAATGTTAATTAAAACATTTCGCGGCAACAGGATAATATCTTTATTGTTATCACATCATTGCGATATTTGATTTGTGCACCAAAACCTACTAGTTTCATTTATTATTTCCGAACACACATTATTGCCTACATGACTTGCACATGACAATTTTATTTGCGACCCACAAATTGCGGCAAACTAATTGAAATTTAACGAATGGCTTCAAAATTGCACCATGTTGATGAGTTAACTTTATTATTTCATCGAATCGACAGCAGATCTGTGCGTTTTACATAACAGTTTGAAACTGAAAATATACATTATTAATGTGATTTTCCATCGTTAAACTTCCTTCAATATAGCACCCTTCATTTTCCAATCTTCCGTTCACAATAGAAAGTTCTGTATAAGAAATTATATTTTCACAGTTGTTTGGCATATAATATGGTGCTAGGAGGAAACATCTGTAAATTAAACATTATGTGAATACATAAAAAAACTACATATGAATCGTTGCGACGATTTTTTTTTTCAAATAATAGTTGAAAACGAAGTTTTTTTCTTCAAATTGAAGCTGTATTATTTGGAACAAATGAAAGCCATTTTTTTATCCCAACGATTCATATATGAAGGTATCCACCAGTGCATATGCTTTTACTCACTTTATTCATATTTTATTTATCCTCCTGGATCTTCTGACTTTCAATTTTGAAAAAAATATTGAAAATAAAATACTTTTATGCATTCAATACTGTAAATGTGATACATTTTCTTTGTTAAATTTTTTAATATCCGTTTCATTTCATTCTGCATACAATTTTGCAGCTTAAATTCAATTATTTTTTGTGGTTTCTGTAAAAAAGACTGTTAATATGCCATTGTAGTGTGGAAGTGTTACAAGCATTGCATATGCTCTATTCGATTGCTATTTTATCATTTTCCAACAATCCACTTACGTCGAATACTTAATAAAAATTGGCTTGAAAATAAACTCGAAAAGTTCCAAATTAGATTTTTAATCATGTAAACTTGTTTGCAAAAGTTGTGATTTATGACGCATTTCTCTATGGCATTGAATTAATTTTATTGAGTTGAGTCTCTCCCAAGAGACGATAAAGTCCATATTAACAAAATGACTATTTTCTATCTAGACTGAAATAAATTTGCTTAACTCACACTTGTTAATGTGTGTAATTTATATTTTAAGGAAGTGTTTTTTGAATGATTTTATTAAATTTTCGCTTTTTTCATTTACAGAAAATATGGTAGCCACGCTGTGGCTTCTATCACTATTGACCATCACACTAATAACAGCAAGTGAATGTGTTTATGCACCGTCACCATTAGCAAAATATCGACGATTAGATAACACACCATATGGCTTTCGGGTAAGAATGATACAACAACACTCATATAATCTTAAAATCGTTTATGGTGAACACATTTCAATCGAACATTATTTATTAGAACATAGTCTCAATATGAAAAACGATTTTTGCATAGTAAAAACACATTTGCTGAAAACAAATTCCTGTTGACAGAGGTGGAAGCATATGGTCATAATAAATATTTAAATACATGCCTCAACTGCATTTGCATGACTGTGATGCGGGCATGCGAGTGCAATAGAAACTATTTAATCTTCGATTTAATTACATTATAATTGAATCGGTTGTGTCTTTACATGCTGCCCCCATGCAGATAGAATTTTTGTGGTTATTTGCACAACCAACATGTCTTTTTTTTTCGTTTTGGCAAATAATTCCATTGACGTAATATCATAAAACGTTTATGCGGAAAATACTATTACGGTGTTCCCACGCGATTGAAATTTCATCATGATGATGGCCACTTATTGAATAGAAATTTTATGACATTTTTGTTTGTTTTTGATTCTTTACATGGTTTTATTTTGCCGTGCGTTATCTGTTCCAACACATATGGAAACTTTGTGCTACATCAACAGGATGACTTGCTACCAATAAAGCGAACAAAACTTTCACTTTCTATTGTTAATCCGTTAGATGTACTGCGCCAGCGGCTGATGTTAGAGTCTCTCAGAAGATCGCAGTACGAGAACGATAAGCAGGTAATTTTTTGTTGTTGTAATGAATTTTAGTCATTCATTGGAATTGTGCTCTGAAGCAAAGCATTTTTCAAATACTTTTTCTTTTCGTTTTACGTTAACAAGACAAAAAAAAACATACATTCCGTTTAACGATGTTCGTTGGCATTCCAATGAACCATTACGACGCTACATAATTTCAAGGTGTTCATTTTCGGTTAATTGGCGGCATCCATTGACTTGCGATTTACGTCATTTTTTATTAACAGCCCGAAAAGGGTCTGCCATAAATGTGGAAATTAAGAGCAAAATTACCGCAATATATATTCCAATTTAATCCAGACGGTGAGAGAGTTGAAATTTACGAAAATTTAAAGAGAATTATATAAAGCACCGGTGCTTCTCAATTAATTACCTTTATTGTTGATTCTCAGTTCCTTTTTGTAAACGCCATTTCTTCCGTTGTCAGTGTTTTCTTTCGTCACCAAAATAAATGCAAAAGATAATTCAACGAGATATGCTTATTTCATTTTTGTAAAATCCATTAAACTGACGTTTTTGCATTGGTGAATGTCATCCACACAGCGAGCGAAAGAAAAATGACTAAAGAGACAGTGGCACGCATTCATTGTGATTCTTTTGTGATAATAATATGCGATTATGATCCAATGTGCAATGTCGTGGGATTTGCCTTTTTGTCATGCTGCTGATAGAGATTTTCTAGAGCGGAAACATTCATTCTGCTGCAGAATATGTTCTTTCCATTTCATCTTTGTTGTTCACTCCAATTTTACTTTTGGATTCGTTTTTAGTCTTCTTTTTCTTGCACCATAGGATTGGAAATGTTTCGACTAATGAAAAACACAAACGAAAGAAACTCATAATCAATATCAAGTTCAATCTTACCAAGTAAACAGACCCAAGTTCTCTCTGTGAGTTTCTAGCGCAATAAATAAAACTCTCGTGTTCATTAAGTCAATGTTATTTTTTTCGGTTTCTTGTTATCCCCACACTAAGCGTAAACCAAATGACTTTGTGAATTACAACTTTAATGAAAATAAAAAGAAATTGGCCGAAGGGAATAAAACGAAAAAGCGTAGGCAAGTGAATGACGATTGATTCAAGTTCAAGTTTGTCGAATTTACGAGACAACAAGAACAATTTCTTTGGAGATAAGTAGCACATCACTCTTTCCATTTTAGATGTGTGTTCGCAAATATGTGTCCATTAACGATTGTGTAAGTCGCAAACAAAATGTAATCACGTATTTAGTCCGTTTTGGAAGTTGAATTCCCCTTCGAAAATTTGAACACACATTCGTATGACAGGTGCAGAATGTGACTTTGTTTCCCTTCTAATGAATCTTAATTGGTTACCATTTCGAATATCGCCATCGTCAGTGACCGGAGTTGGGAATTTTCACTCACATTTTTGGTCAGCTCAAAATATAACTTAATTAAACGAAAATGGAAGGCAGACCTATTCATGAAGGATATTAAAAATCCTTAACACAATCAATTATATTTACCCTCCTGTTATGAATCAAAAACATCGAAATTAAACGTTTCTCATTATTATTTCGGTTTGTATGGAAAAACGTTTTCGACGATTTTATTTAAATCCAATTCGAATAAAAAATACTTAAGCTGTATCAAATTATCCAACGCCTCAAATATTATATCATCTTGTTGGTTTCCAATTCAAACATTACACATTGAATGTTTAACGCCCCAACAAATATTATCGCAACTTCCCGTTTTTATTTAAATTTATTCCGCGTTTACTTGAATTCCAAATGCTCAGAATTGAAAGAAATTTGTTCCTACACAGATTATAATATACTACATTTTTTTTGCCGAAATTAATATCTAATGATCCGATTTGCACTTACATAAATACCAATCCAAACCTCCGCATCATATTTACCTTTCTCGGTAGATTTGTGGAACATTTGGGCAAAAGAAGCTTCCTCAATGAAATTCATCAAGGGCCTTGAACAAAAAAAAGTGACATTGTTGTGGTGATTATTAAACGATGCTTTTAATGTTTCAATTATCTATGCTGCAAAAACGTCGACATTTAAATGCGATTAGAATGGTGGCAATGTGCGAACGGAGAGTATAGAACGCAATCAATTGTAAACGATGGGATCGCGTTGCATTGAGAACAATTTACGCGTTTGTAATCTAATCTAGGCGAACGCAGTCACGTGTTCGATAAGTTGTCCTTATAAAGAAATCGACAAGTATACAATGCATAAGCGTTCGCTGTGTTTCGCTTTTTTCTCTCTCTCGCTGATCTTGTTATTTTTATACTTTCTTTTATGTGCTCATTATTTAAATGGTAAATTATGCTATGAGATTCAATGTTTTGTGCGCCATTGATATTGGCGTTTGTTGCAAAGCTGAAATGAAACACTTTCTTCGCTGCATGCCTGCAGGCACTAAAATTCTTCAATCAACGCGAATATTATTATTCGAAAGCTTTGTGCTGAAAATTCATTTTGCTTGAATTGAATTTGGCTTTCATTGTGTGCTCAATGCGCACACCGGATGATTACAATCGATGGCGTGATCCAATAAAAGCGATACGCATAAAATCAGCTAAATTAGAATTAAACTAAACAGACGGATGTTCATCTTCACTTTTGATTGAATGATAAATATTTATCTAATCGTTGCCGCACTGAACGACCTATCCAAACCATAACATAATTGAAGTACCAAAAAAATTTTGTCGCCCATTTGTTGATTGCCATCATAAATTATTGATTTGGTTGATTAATGTGTCATAAACCATTTGGCGTGCATTGACGTAAATAAATCATGTTGTCGAGACGAGTCGAGTCGACTCTCTTTGTTCGGTCACAATTTATGTAAATTATTACATCATATTTGGATGGCATTTTCGGCATTTATTCTTAGTACCAAAATTGATTAAAATTGACCCATACTTTGGTACCTTTAAACAATTTTTATAAACACTATAAATCAAAGGAAGTTTTCCACGTCAAAATCAAAGGAGTTTCTCTTCCGAACAGAAATGACTTTTATTAAAGCTTAATGAATGCGAATTATGAACATTTCAATTTGAATAATTGCGCAAAATAGTACAAACAAATCTGGGCTTGGGTCTTTGGGACCAAAAGAATATCACAATTGTAAAATGCGCTCACATGAATGTGAACAATGATAACATTAATGGGTCAATTCAGGTACGAATTTTTTTTTCGAGCATTTTTTTATGGCACGTGATTGTACTTAATGGTCGGCAGACGTTCTGTAATTAAGTAATAAATATTTTATCATGATTTAGTCAATAGCTTTCAATTATGCCACTTGGCGAATTAGTTTATGAGTGGTGCAGAGTGCGTGAGTCCGTAATTCGTAAACAAACCCATTGATTGACACTATTTCGTAAATAGCAGCTGCCATCGCAACTGATCCATACATTCTTTTCTATTGAATATTATTTCGGCGAAACTAGTTCTTGTTTGAGCCAAATTTTAAATTAACATTCCATGACTATCGATTTCAATTTAAATGTGTCAACTGACATAAACAAACACTTGACTTTAATTAAACATGATTCATTGGCATTTTGAGGACCTTTTTGCCAATTTGATTTTAAATTATTTGAATCACGTGAATATCAATATGAACAATCAATACGTGAGTTATTGAAAAAGACCGCCGAATTTCGTAATGAAATTAAATTTGGATTATAACTATATGATTTTACATCATCTCTGATGATAGATAGATTTTTTACATATTATTCGTGTAAATGTTGAATGAGATGAAAAAATCGTCAATTAACCAAATAAATTAGATTCGTATCAGCGTAATGGCATATTACATGCATGAGATAGCAGTTTATATCGATGAAATAGTGCACATTTATGTTAAAAATATCTTAATATCGGCAGCCATTCATTGGCTTCCTAAAAAGCGGCTATTAGTTCATACATGTATCGAACAAAATTACCGAAAAAATATTATGAGATTTTCCGGTATCAATTATTTAAAATTTTATATATGTTTTAATACTTATTCAAAATGAACTCTATTAAATCAATGTTGTTATTCAAGTAAAAATTATTTGAGAACCTTTTATCAAATTACCAAAAAAGAAACCAAAAAATTGTGATTTTTTATACTTCCAGATTATAAAGAACAGAGAGATATTGGAGAGAATAGGCAAACGAAGTAGTGGTAACGAACCATCAAATTTCCATGAACGCGAGCGATTTGAACCATTCCGGCAGCACTTGGACATGAATGCAATTTTGGACGAGATCACAGGAGCTGCCCAGTCAAATGACCATTCCATTTACAGTGCTCAGTCGCCCGACTACTATTTTGATGAGACCAATACCATTGACACAAAACAAATGCTAACGCCCCGACTTCATTCATTCCGTTCATCAGCATCGCGCCCATACGACATTGAAGCTTCAGCAAATTCATTTGCCACGGACGAAAATGGTTGGCGCGAGGAGAAACAGCAGAGCTTACACAATCAAAAGCAACAACCATTAAATGGACCAAAATCGCATTACATACGCCAATGGAACCAGCAAATCAATGAAAAAATGGATCCAAATGTACAACAACAACAGCAACAAAAGCAACCGATCAAAACAAACGATAACAATGGGGATTTTATGCAATCATTCGATTTGAATTAATTTCATTTGCGTTCACTCTTATAATCTATTTTATTGATGTAAATTCATTTTCGATTGTCTTACTTTGAACACGTTTCGTTGATGTTTTGAGTTCATTAATTCAATTTGCCAAAATCCAGAGGGTAAACAGGATGCGGCTGGCGTATGATGGATGAAGTGATACAAAATGACCTGAATTGTATGAGATGTGGTAAGAAGTGGCATCAAGTAAAACCAAAAAAAAAAAGAAATAAACAAAACAAACAAACTTAAGAGCATGTTCATTTTATTGAGATGTACAGAAATGATGAAAACAATATTAAATTAAATGTGCTTGCGATACAATTCAGCTCGGCTCGACCCGGCTCTCATTCACTTAACTATACACACTTCGTTTGTAGACTTTATAACAGTATTTACAATATTTTCTAGATTTAGGTGTACGTTCAGTGTGAATTAAAAACACACTAAAAAAGTGACAAAAACAAAATCTATCTATAACACAACAATGACATTTCTGGTTGTTTTTCAATTTTAAGGGGCCTACAGAAAAACGGTATTTTTACATGAACGTGTTTTTTTCGACATTTGGTTCGGTTGGATTTTTTTTTTGTTTTTACGTTCGATTTTGCGTCGTATATTTTAATGGTTTGTAATAAAATACAAAAAAAGTTCATTTTTCAGTTGGCCCGTATGATGCTACGGATGGCATGCGCTTTGAATGAGAAAAAGAAAGACAGTACATTAAGTGATAATAAAATTTAAAGAGCTCATTTACTAAATTCCCGAAACAGCGCAAGCAATTTGATGAAACTGTACGATTTATGTAGCTTTTTCTGCTTCCATTCAACCATTTCCAATGTATTTCAAATGTTTTTCGGTGACACGCATTACCCTTTCACGCTCAAATGTATTTAATTACTTTTGTGCAAAGTGAATTTTCTAACTAACTGAACTTATTGAAATCAACACATTCCATGTTAACGAGATGGATTGTAGCATTGTTAAAAGGCAATGAAACGTACAGACACAATTGATATTTGTATGAAACCCACTCCAATTTTCGTTAAAGTCTCTCTCTCTCTCTTTCTTTCTCTGTATACGTGTAGCTAAATTTAATTTTATGCTGTAAATGCCAGTCAATGTTTCTGCAACATCACAAATCAAAAGATAACCAAATTAAGCATATGGAAAAAATCCGGGCAAAACTTTTTGAAGAAAAAAACCAAAGACAAAAAAACTTTAATCCAATATTCAATGAACAAACAAAAAACATACCCACCCTAAAATTATACACATGATAACAATTACCTATTGTATTAATGAAATTAATATTTGAATTTAAAAAACAAACAAACAAACAAGGTATTGTGAAAGTCTAAGTCTAGATTCATTTAATCAAATCGATGTGTTATTTTAAATATAAATATTATCCCCAAAAAAATAAAAATCTATTATTACCAAATTACAATATACAATAAAGAAATGAAAATTAATTTATTGAATGCGTTGGTCTTGATTCATTCGCTTATGTTCATTTTCAAGAGACGAAGCCATACAAAGTGAGTAAGTATAACATTGGAATTCCCGAAAACTATCTACACTGCATATTCGTATGTTCCAAGAGGACTTTGTTCAACTTTTATAATTGATACGATAGTTCAATGAACCGTATTATTTACGTCGAATATGTCGTCACACTTGTAGTATTGCTATGACGTGTTGTGAGAAGAAAAACATAAAACACAAAGACCTACTGGAAAGTTGTGATATCAACAGCAATTTTCTTCAATTCAAAAACCACAGGAGTTGACCCATATATAAATAGAAATGTTCACTGCAACTTCGTTAGCCAACATCCAAATCAATAACTATGTTTAAAAAGCAAAATTTTAACATAATTATGATGATGAAATCATTGACAGGGCCGAAAATATAGCCAGACGAAAATAGACGGAACAACGCGTAGCCAGACCGCTTCCCTCTAATTGTGAATTCGATGCTGTAATATGTGCTATTTCAAGAACAACAACAATTGACAAAACAAAATGTCAAAATGTGATGAACCGTTAAATTGAATGTTGATGACGAAACGCCACCCCAGTTTTATTAGTATTGCGTCGATTGAATTCGGAAACGAATGGAATCAACAAAATAAACGAAAGGGAAAAAAGCTCGAAAATTACAGCAAAACAGATACTCTGACAATAATAATTGCTATTTTCATCGTAACGCTTTTGAAATTTGAAATGTCATGAATTATCAAATGGTTTTTTGTTTTCTTTGACACGACTTGCCACAAATGTACGCCTGTAAAATCGGTTGACCCATCTTTGCTCAAAGCAAAATGTAAAATAAATCGATTGATGACTACATGCAGTGGTTTTTCTTTTCAACTTCGTATAAACAAGGAGTGAGTGTCTTCCGTTTACGAGTCTGAATTCACTAAACCAAAAATATTACATTTTTAACAATGATGGTTTGAGAGAAAAAAAAGAAACAGCTGGATTTGAATTTTTCTGTGTAAATGTTATCAAAGCAGAGCATCGTTACAAATGAATAACAGGATATGTCTTTCAGTCACTTTCAGTAAATATATTCTAGGTGAATAAATATGATAACAGGTATAACTTTTAAATCACCGTAACTCCAGTCTTTTGTCCAAGTGATGAGCGTACCGTGCGGTAATGAGACAATAAAACTTCTTTTGTTTTAATAAAGCATCTGTTCAAAGCGTTTGTTAACCATGGAAAAGACCGTAATTTGATGCGGGTATATTCTATTCAAAATGTCATACATAAACTTGCAAATTGTTTCTATATTGTACAGCATTTTGGGTTATTGCTTTTATATTTTCAGTTTCGTAACTATGAAAAAACTGTATTTTTTATTCCGCATGAGCCACGTAACAAAAGAACATTGGCTTCAAAACAAAAAAATTCAATTTTTAAAATTGCAATTATTTTATTTTCAAATGAAAAGATGAAAATGATATTGTTCATAAAAAGAAATTGTGAAAAAGAATAAACTGTCACCAACAGATTTAAAATGTGAAGGGATAAACTTTCAATAAATTTAACGCCATACCAATGACGTGTTTGCTTAATGTTGAAACTAAACTTGTGCGCTTATTGCTTTTTTCCGTGCAGGAAAATTTCTTGATTTCCATTTACTTACGGCCATTTTCACAACATTAATTATAATAATCCAATTTCAAATGAACGGCAATGGAGTAAGAAAAACATATCAATTCTGTCGTGCTTGAGTTTCTATTCTAATAAGCGCGTGTTTTTATTTGAATTCAATCGGACATATTTTGTTCGTAAAATCAATATCTAATTATAGTGTTATTATAAATGCAAGAATTAATGATGAATAATTGTAATTTTCCATTCAGTGTTTATTTAATATCACATAACAGGGCCACTCCACGGAGTGTCCAATGTCTTGGATTAAAGTCCGTTTCAAAATCGATAGATCCCACATACTTTTGATCGGTTCGTTGAGGTTTTCGATATATCGGACATTCGTAGAGCCGGGGATCTTTTCCAGCTGTCGTATTTATCGCATAAATATAAATAACTGGCATTTGTTCATAGAGCACTTTTGGCCTTGATTCAATCAATTTGCCACTACGGCGATCCAGTGATGCACCTAAACGTAAATTTTAAACAAAGTTGACAGAAAATTTGCAAAAGAAAAGGGTGTAATAATTGCTTCAAAAACTTCTTTATTTCTTCAGCATACCTTCAAGAAATAGTCCGTGCACATAAACTCCTTCAGTTGGTGCTTCATTGATGTCTTCTTTATTGTGACGGGTTATTTGATTTTGTAAAACGACCGAGTCAAGGGCCCATCCTTTGTGTGCACGAGTCACCTCCTAAAAAAAAGCACGAATAAAACACAAAAGTGAAAGTGCGTACAAAAAGTTGATGAGAAAATATGATTTGCCGTTTTGAAATGTGCTACGTTTAATCTTACTTGTCGCATGGCCGTCAAAAAGCCTTGTGGATTGAAAAAACCCGTCATCCAAAATACCTTTAATTTGAATATGTTTTTGTTGTTAGATGCAAATATTTGGAAGAAAACAAATTATTCTCTAATGAATTTGATGCGATGTTGTCACGTGGCGCGACATAAATTTCCATCAAAACAAATAGCATCTAAAATATAAAATACAGTGAACCCGACAACCACTTACGGCCTTACCTTTGGTCGGTCTGTTAAAAACCATGTACGGAATTGTGCATTTCTCTCCAGCAACTCTGTATACCAAAAGCCAAGCGTTGTTGATTCCCACGAAATCTGCTCATGAAGGAAACAAAATTGAGAATGACAGCATAATTGACACATTCGAAATTGATTTTTCTTCGACACATTGGCGAATGAAGTGCCCTCATTCAATATTCCCTTATGAATAAAATACGCGTATATGTTTGTATAATCAAGATTAGTTTAATGGAAAGCATTTGAAAAGAAAGCTGTAGCAAAAGAAAATAATCCGATGCTTGTCCATGCATCGCACACACACTCGAATCCATTTCATTCTTAAGCGTATGGAGATTATCATATTGCTTTTTGGAGGTTAAACCAAACCTCAGTGTGTCTTAACCACGAAATATTTGTGTCCCATTTTTACAAGAACCAAAAGACGAATTTGTTATCTGCAGACAATCGAATGTTACATTTTTAAATCATAAAATCTCATCCAATTGGCATTCCAAATATTTTTGTCGTAGGCACAAAACGAAATTCCAAATATTTTTCTATCATTCAATGCTATCGGCATTGTACATATTTAGCATGTTAAGTGACAGGAAAAACAATGCAGACGTTATATATTGTTTTTGAGGTTGTCACGTAATCATCCATGATATGCTAATATCCTTTGAAGCTTCTATCTGTCTGTCACATAAATTCAATGAGTCATAGCCTTCAGCGAAATGTGTTTATAACGATGGTGTTATTTATATCGAATTAATGTCAATTTGATGCAAACACCAATAAAAGGGAAATTATTATTCAAATCATTTGACAGTCAGTCATGCAACCAAACATAACACAAACCCATTGATTTTCAAGCAGATGCGTCTTTGATATTCACAATTACATTGTTCAGACGAAACTTTATTCGTCTCGGGCAACGTGGTTAGTCGTTTTGCCAAAAGTATGTGCATACATGTTAAACTGACCTTCATCCATTTTTCCGGTATGCGAGCATCATACATGGCATCCAACGAAGCTCGTAGATTTGGACTCATAACAATCGTTCCATCGATAGCAAGTTTTAGATTGCACAAACTCTCATAAACTTCGCAAATAACTTTCTGCATTCGATCCAGCTCTTGTCTTCTCGTTTCAAAGAGGTTGATTGAATTTTCCGAAAGAATCATTTGAAGGAAACTGAATGAAATTTAGTTTGATAATGACGTAAATGTGATGCATATACCTGAAGAAAATGTTCATGGGTAAAAAGGCGCCCAAGCGTTGCAAAGCTTCACGAACTTCAAACGAAACATATTTTGGAGGTAGTTTGCGTAGCATATCATCCGCCAATTGATACACAATACTTTCACGGGTTTCACCACCACCGCCACCACCTTCCTTTGGTTGCACGTTCAAAATTGTATCGAGTATACCTTAAATTATTCGGACAAACTCACAATATTGCTAAAATATCCGAACAATTCACTTTTCACATACCTTTTGCTGTATTTATTTGATAAGAGATGTCGGCATTTGAATGCAAGCCAAACACTTCGGGAGTATCATTTGTTGGCAAACTATTTATATAGTCGGTGTACGTATGTAAATTCCTTGACATCGGCACTCGGTATCCTTTGTGAAATTCGAAATTTGGCGATAGCAATGTTTCATTGAACCAAACACTTGTAAATGTAACCAACAATCGTTTATCGAAGTCGTCGGTAACTCTTCCACCGTACATCACCTCGCCGAGCATATAGCATAAAGTTTGCCATGATACACCTTTCTTTGGATCGATTTCATCGAGATGATTTTGAATGAATTGCACACTGGCTGCGAAATCGGCTTGATTAAATTCATACGGAATATTCCAACCGAGCGGTCCAAACTTTCTTCGTTCCTGTACGATTGTGTGCAAAAATGCAATCGTATAGAGCAAAGCCGGCCATTGTGATGCGGTTGTATAGTCAAGAAAATCCTGTGAGAATGCCTATAGAAACGTATAAACATTTATTAAACAATATGGAAAGGAGACAATTGAATATGTACAACTCAAAATGTTGCGTTTCACAGCGGATCGAATTCAATTCAATTCGTTTTGTCTGAAAATTGTGCTCAAATAATGTTTATGTACTCAAGGTGAAAATAAGTTTCTGTTTTTCTTTATAAACTTTTATCCATCTTCCTGACAATTTTACCAATTGAGTAAAAAGAAAAGTGATTTCTCCTTTTTTTCATACAAAAAAGTAAAAAGTTGTAGAAAGACCGGTATTGACTTTTTCGATCGATTTAATAAAACAGCACGTAATTTGCATACATGATTCAATGCTAATATGACACGTTTCAGTTGACACGTTCGTCAATATGTAAACAGAAAGTCAAAAAAAAAATAACAAACTTTTCTCTCAACAAACATTTTAAATGTTTTCATGTCACATTCCATGGATTTTTCTCGTCGTGGTGAAAGCATTGTTTATTTCGTTTTTTTTTTTGTGCAAGGTAAAAGAAAATAACGGTTAATATGAAGTGAACTTTTGATTGTATACCTGATAACTTCTTTTCAAACTGGCTCGAATGCCTTGTGGTGGTTCATTAGTGAATTTGATTGCCATTTGCAGTAAACCGATTGGAAATTCTTCGTGCACTTCGGTTGTTACCCATAAACGGAATGTGTCGTCAATGTGCTCAGTTTCAACCAGAACATCAATAATTTCGGAACAGAATGGTAGCGATAAATGAACATTTTGGAGTAGCACCCATCCGCCACCAGCCATGCAATCGGTCATCATTCTACGGGCATGTAACTCTTGTCCTTGACCCATCGATACCATTTTAAGAGCTGTGCGAGCAAAATACAATCATTATTAGATCGAAAACATAGATTCAATGCAATCAAATATACTAACGGATATTTTTGTTTTTGGATAATGTTGCAATCTGAGAGGTTGGATCGGAACCGATTGATAAAATGCATACAAGCGGTGTTCTTGGCTCTGACTCTGACCAAGTGGCATCCAAGTCCAAAATTTGCATCTCACTATACTCAGGGCCGAGTGATTCTGTTTAAAAAAGAGAGTTTTTTTCATACTTTTACAAAGGTGGTTGTGAGTAAAACAAAAGATGGGGAGTCAAACCTTCGATATATTTCTTTGCTTGTGATATTGTTCGATCTGGGCTCCAACTACGAATGAGAAGCAACTTTCGAAAACCATCCAACGTGGAACTGTATGAGCAAGGAATTTCTTCGGCTTCTGGTTTTTCCGATTCGTACCATATTCTCCAATCTTTTTCATTGGTTTCGATCTGTTTGCGATGGAAAAAGATATCAATCGTATCGTATTCATCATTCACAAATGACATACATATAAAATCTTAACATATTACCTTTTTCAATAAATCGCTAAAAGTGTTAAGCTTGCTTATCTCAACCAGGTTCAACCAAGTAATATCCAATATCCATCTGAACGGTTTCGGTGTGACAGCATTCAAATCAAGCGATGCACCGCCTTTGACAAACGCCATAAATTCTTCGTGCGTTATAATTCCCTTATTGTAATCGATTTTTATAGCTAATAAAAGCGTGTACAATTGTTTATGTCTTTCGTATAAGCTGCGACTAGTAAACGCCCATATTTCGTACGTTAAATATTTCAAAATATTATTGATACGTTCTTCGGTGTTATTGCTTTTGATCGATTTTAGAATCGAATTATCGAAAATAACGAGAAATTGTTTGAGTGAATTTTGGTACATAACATTAACATTGCTCATTTCGACAATTAAAAAGTACAAAATTGAGCCACGTGTTGCTACTCCACGGAATTCTTCTCTTGCCACCGTAATTTTTCGCTCCGTTACTTCGGATATTTTCAACTTTTGATTGACTTCTTCGGCTGTTGTTTTTGTAACACCCAATACCTCAATCAATTCTTCGTCGTCAACAAGAGATCCTTCTGACGAACTTAATCTTGACAAAAGATTTGCTTCAAGCTCTTTCATGCTTCGCTGATTCTTCATTACACTTTCAAAAAGTTGCACTCGTTCGGCCTCCAAATCAGATTTCTCCATCAATATGACTCGGCCCAGTAATTGATCTTCTAACCCGCGCATTGTGACCGTAAAATCGATAATACTGGTTTTGGCGCTAATTTCTGGACTAAACGGTGGATTCGGCAATTTTGTAGTTATGTATAAGAAGAAACCAGGCATCACATCGCACTCTTTGTCACCAACTAACACCTTTTCGATACTACCCGATTTGATGAAATTCTTTTCCAAGACATTATCAATCACAGGATCGAGTTCAGTGCCCACGTCTTCGATTAGCAGTGGTCGACCCAACGACAGCGAATCTTCTAAATGTGTGCGGAAATATTTATGGTTAAGCGATGTGATTTGCAATTCATTTTGATCTTCTTTGCTTTTGATCCAGATCTTGCCTTGGATCTGAGGATCGATAAGCAACGGGTAGCTGCGTGATTTGGTGGCTATAAGTGCATTTTGTACGGAAAGTTCATCGTTTGGTAAACCTTGCAGCGTCCATTCGCTAACGGTGGCTGAATCGACCATCATTTGGGTGATATTCAAATTGGTTGTGAATGGAATATATTTCGATTTTAAAATTCCCATCCACGTCTTCAATAAGTTGGAACGAAATTCTTGATTGTATGGACCACCGTAAGAGAGAAACCCGGTGGCCAATAATACATCACCCACTAATTTGCCGAGCTGTATTTTAAATTCTTTGCTTTGTTGTGTCCATCGAAGTTTCTCGCCTTGTAAACCATTAATTAAAGCCGTTGCGGCTGTCATTTTTCGCAGACATACATTTGCAGCGTCCGTTAAACGTTGTTTTTCGCCAACGGCAGCATCGTATTGATTTTTCACTTCTTGCAAAGCATTTTCACGTTCTAGCAATTGATTTTCGGCGCCGGCCAAATCATCCATGGCAAGCTACATCATAAAGAGAAAATCGCATTGTCACATATTGATTTTGTTTTGGAGGAAAGATTAGAATCAGATTATAGTACCTTAAGACGGGCTTCCTGCAATGTTAAATTGGCTTTCAGTGGTAGCACTTCTTTATTGACGCCGTGAAAAAATGCCATTGCTTTTGTCCCTGTAACAATAAGAATCGCAAAATAAATCCATAACAATGGTAAGCATTGGTATATGTTGGCTGGAATTGAAATGTATTATTTACATGATAGCAAACCGGCAACATCTCCGCAAACACGTCGTGCCATATCCATATTGTAGTCTTCCATTGCAAAGTACGGTTGCAGAAAATCAATCATTTCATCATTTATTGAATCTTTTGGATAATTTTGTAGTTGAAGCAAGAAGGTTGTGCTTGCCATCATCTAAAATTGAGCGAAGCCATTAAATTATTTTCGATTAATTTTTTCGTTTCAAATCGTATACCTTGAGAGATTCTTGCCAGCTCGGCTTGGGACATGGAGCAGCTGTGTCCGGAATGCAAGGATGTATTTTACGTTGGAATAATATTAATACACAGTCCATGATCCGCATAATTAAATGTGGTGGTCGTCCAAGTTTACGCACTGTAGCAATATGTGCGGGTTTTATTGTATTCAAAGCAGATTCTGCTTCTTCCAGTGCTGGTTTGGCTGCTTCTAACTTTTCTTCAGCGAATGCTTTTTCTTCGGCTATTTTGGCTACAAGAGCCTCTGCTTTTTCTTTTACGATTTGCACTTGATTTTTTACGACTTCAGCTTGACTGGCTTTCTCGGTTACTTCAGTTAAGACACTTTCGGCTTTTTGCGAAGCACTAAAGTAAAAACATAAAAAATACATTTTTTAATTAAGATTTGGAATGTAAACATTTATTTTTTTATGTTTTCTCTATCCCAAACAATGCCAATGAGTACTTACATAGCCAAATCTTGTTCCATCACCGCCAAATCCATTTTTAGTATTTCAACTGAAGCTGATGCCTCTGCCAGTTTTTCCAGACCGGTTTCCATTTTTTCAACACCGTCTCTGAGTTCGGATTGTTTCATTTGGTAAATGCTTTTATAGCCAGCAATAAAATTCAAGTATGATTTTGGTGTCACGTGTGTTGCTCGTCGAAAACGTTGGAAATATTCAACCGAAATCTCACTCACGATGCTTTGAATCGTGCCCAATGCTCGAATCAATTCAGTTTTCACCTCGTCCACACATTCAATTTGGAAATCGGATAAGAAGTGGTGAGCAACTGAGACAAGGGCATCTTTGGGCCATGGTTGAAACCAATCGATTGTGCATCCCGATACGAGCGCTGGAAATCGTTGTACACGATGTCGGAATGTTTCACCGACGGGCGAAAAGCAAAATGCAACATGTAAATTGTGAGCTGCTCTTTGGAGAAAGTACTCCATCACCGTTTCCGCATTAATAGTTCGTTTTGGATTTTCTCGTTTCATTACAGGCGTTAATTCGGAGACAATTTCTTGTTGTTCGTCTCGCGTGAATAAATTTGAAATTACTCCAGAAGACAGAATGTTATTCAAATATTCAAGGAAACCTTCTTCTTTGATATCCAAATCTGAAAACAAAAATGTCGTCCCTTTTCCTTGAACTCCACAGCTTCTATAGAGTAATTTCAAATCTTCGAGGAAATTGCTGACATTGTACGATCGCGTTAAACTAATTTGGAAAACTTTATAACCGGCTAGAAGAAGAGAAATGAAAAAAATCAATATTTCGTAGCCTGACATGTGTTTGAAGTACACATACCAATGAAAGTTGCTAATTTGGTGAGAGATTGTTTTCCACTTCCACCTACGCCGACCAACATTACATTACCACGCGGATGACGAATTATACGGGAGATTTTGATTAAATGTAACATTGCATCGGGGAAGAAAACCAAATCCATGCCAAGTCCACGAACCATTTCGTTAAATTGAGACAGAAACATGTTCAAACGTTCGCGCAGTACGTCGTATGAATGAACTGGTTCATACACTTTTGGTAGTTCCTTAGTTTAAATAATTTTGAATAATATTAGTTTATTGTTTTCCATTTTTAATTCATTAACTTGAATATACATACCATGTCTGCGTCTTCACCCTCTTCACCAGTTGGTTCGGGAGCATCACGCATGAAATCAACAAACACCGGATTCGATTTCGCCATATCAACATAATCTTCGCCCAATTCAGTTAGAATTAAGGAAATCAATTCTGTACGGAACCATTCTTTGTCCGATTCAATAGTGAAACGATCAGAAAATACACGCATACATTCATGCTTCCATAATTCAATCATAATATTTTCACTTGTAATGACCGTAGACAATGTCGATATCATGCCCTGCCATATTCGAGATAAATCCCTTAAATTGAAAACATAATGGAATTTTGCCGGTGTCGGCAGCAATCGGTTTCTCGTGGATGTCCACAGTAATCGGGTCAACGGAATTAGTTTTTTGACAAGTGCCCGAACACCAGGAACAAAACCGCGTTTTACATTATAATGTCCTTCGCCCACTGTACGGAAAATCTTATCAATTGACTCGTTATCGGGAATGTTCACATTAAAGACACAAAATTGGCGCTTCAATCGTTGTGGAATATCATTGCGTCCACCACCTGCAGAAATTGACAATACATGCATATCAAATATTCAAAGAAATATACCATGAAGTCTGTGTGAATATACCTGGAATGCCCATTGCCCCAAAGTATTGCACATCAACGATGTTTGTGAATTCTCCTGGCTTTTCGAGACTGTAAAAACCACTCATGTCCATCGTTTGACGAACAATTTCATTTGTCACTTGGTCACCCCATACATTGATTTGGGGCAAATTAATGTCATCAATAAACACAATCATTTTTCGGCCATTTGACGGACCAAATGTATTTCCCAATCTCTTTTCCACATAATTTTCAATTGTTTTTTGGAATTGATATGGGCTAGTGGCCGATGAGAAGTTGAATGAACGACCAATATGTGTTTCCGGACTCATTTTCTTCATGTAATTTTTCATAATGACCGTTTTGCCAGTTCCTTGCTCACCAATCAATAAAACGGCTCGTTCTTGTTGTGCAATTGTTCCAATCAAATAATCAATACGTACATTATCCACAATTGGAATTAAAATGCCCGAAAAATCGGGTGTCGCATATTCGGGATAAACGTATGTGGTGACAAGTGTTTTCCAGTTTTTCCAATTGCCGGTTTTCGTAACAAAATAGTCGAATATCGATTGATCCATATCTGGATCGGATTCTTCTTTTGGAAAATCGAAATCCGAAAACTTTTCGTGTACGAAAACATCCAATTTTTTACGGTCTTCGGTATTTAAAAGGGCACCAAAGCTCCATGTCATTGCAAAAATATACAAACGATGTAAATGTTCCACAGAAAATAATTCCTCTTTTTCCTCTGAGACCGCCAGGTCCTCGGGAACCTCATCTGAATATTAAATGAATGAAAAAAATTCATCATTTTTAAGGAATTTGTATAAAAATTATTAATGCTACCTTCAACACTTTCATGAACCGAAGCGGCAACTTCTTGATCTTCGGCTTTAGGTTTCGGCACCAGACCTTCAAGGATAATAAGCATTTGTTGCACAATATTACACTGCAGAACGTCCATTTTCAATTGAAGATTTTGCGTTTCCCATGTGTACAAAGCTTGAAACGACTTTTCAAACATTTCCTGGAAAACAGACACTTCTCGCTGTGTTCTGGACTTCAACCATGCATTGAGAACTGTTTAAATGATTGAAAATGACAGTGAGGAAAATGTTTTAATGAATAAAATATTTTCATTTAAATTGATATTTACTTGGAACCCAATCGAGGCCACTGCTACTCATGTACACCATTCCATTACGTGACACCGTTGCTGGTGATGCATTGTCTATATTTTGTGGTTCAAAAATGATTTTGCAAGTGGGTGACATGCTCAAACGATCACCATTTGCCAGTGTTAGTGTTTTATTGTCATCTAAAACTGAATTTAAATTCTAAAATGTTCGAAATGAATGCCATTTATTATTCTTTTCTAGTATTTATTTTTAACTTTGAAAATTACCTCAATCCAGATACTATCAACTGGGCCATCGAGCACCAGCCAAACATATTCATCTATTGGGATAGGTATTAAATTAGAGAATTTCTATTGTAATACGCGCAGAACGTAAACAATCAACATACTTTTCTTCATTTTTAATGTTTTGCGCCAAAGTGCACTGAAAATACCATCCGTCCAATCATTTGTGGCCACATCCAATTTGCCAAACATTTGAGACGCCGTTATTGCTTTTGGATTCATTCGCATTTCTCTGTGAAAATTATTCAAAGCTTAATTGAAAATTCTGCTCCGTTGAATTCAATTCAAAATCTCTTTTCATATATATGTATGTATTGCAAACCTATGATTGTCACCCATTTGTGTTAATGATTTCATGAGTATTTGAATGCATTGAGTTTTGCCAGCTCCGCTAGGACCCAAAGTCATTATACCATGACGTACCGTTTGTGTTTCATACAATTGAATTAATTTCAGAACCCATGGTGGATGATAGACTAAATTTGCCGCCTCTGTCTGTTCGGCAATAGCTGCTTCGAGTTCGGCATAAACAGTTTTTTCGATTGTCTAAATCCAAAACACAAGCAAACAGATATGAGAATAATTTTCATGTGCAAACCTATGTGTTGAACGGCCTATATTTTTGCCGATTCAGCAAGTTGATGTCAAGAATGTTGTTCATTAATTATTAGTTTACTATGACTTAATTACTTGATTGGGAAACAGATCCGCAACCAACGATATGAATAACGGTTCATCATCATCAATTAACCTGAAAGTTGTTTAAAAATGTATTTATTCACTTGCAATTCATAGCTGTTAGTCCCTACAAATAGTATTATAGGAACAAACAGATTTTCTTCAAATAAGACGGTTACTTGGATAGGTTCATGTCACGCAATACACGCATTACAATGGTTGATTCACTATCTTTTGAATTTTGCCGTTTGGCTGCTCCAAGCGAACGTAGAACAGAGAGAATATTTCGCAAACCGAAATCATAATGCACTTGTTTCGTTAACTGTTCTTCGCATAGTTTGTAAAGTGTGTAAAACTTTCTGGCTAAAGTAATGTTCTCGAGGAAACCACAAGAAGCGAGCTTAACACGAACTACAAATTAAATTATTCAAACAAAGTGATGTGATCGGGTAATATTAACAGGTTGAATATTTTAAAGAAAAATACACACTAATTATCTGACGGTCGGGAACCATCATTGCCACCGTTCGAAATTGGATTTTTAGATTTTCGGCTGAAATCAAATTTATTATCATATACAATTTATATTTACTTTATTCTTTATTCTACTTACGTAATTCTTTTCGACCGGCATAACCAGGATTCTAAATTTAAAAAAATTACAATAACACAACGAAAATCTTGCTTATACAGTTGAATGAGCTTATAACATCAAAAAAAACACTGACCATTGTTATGAAAATGCCAAATTCATTATTCAGCTCCATAGTGTCACCGTCGGTGAAAACAAATGTTTTTTTCTTTTCCTTTCGGGCAGTAAGCACGACGGCCACTTGTTGAGCGGCAACCGAAAGAACCGGCAATTCAATACGATTGAATTCTACATGAGACATGTAAAACAGGTAGAAAAAAAATGAATTCGTTTTTTGTGCATAAAAAGCCCAGCAAATCAGATAAGACAAGAATCTCACTTACCATCAAAGCAACCCCATGAACCGGACTGAGCCAATCCTTTGTAAATACGCCCCAATCCTCTGCAACATAAAAATAAGATGTTTGTTTGTTCGTAAATATAAAAACAAAATAAACCAGATTGGTAAATATGAGCAATGAAATGTTTATATTTATGTTAATAATGCAATTTGCTCATTTTGGCGATGTTTGTTTGCTCTAGAAATTGAATTATCAAAACAATCAAAAAATCTCTATTAATCAGAAATTAATCAAACATCAACAATGTCGAAAGGTGTGCGTCTTATCAACGTCCCGTTAATTTTATTTCGGGCGCCCAAAAACGGCTAAATTGAATAATAATAATAATAATTTACTGTTCTCTAGACATTTGATATTTAATCCAAAGGCTGTTCAAATTTCTATCAGCCAAACTTTGGTGCGTCAGTAAACAATTTATATTGTAAGACGAATTCAATCATAATAAATAAATTACCTGTAATCCATTTGATCGGAACAGTTGAAGACGACCACATATTTTGCAAGAGTTTTTCCCATGTCTTTCACTGTTTCGGTTTTACCTAATAACGAATGCAACGAAATAACAACCGCACGTTTTTCTTCAATCATTTTATGAGCTTTTTTACGCCTCTACAAATCACGTGTTAACACTTTACCAAGGTGTGTCTCTCATACACAATATTTCTTGGATTAAAAAAAATAATCATCTATGTCTAATACCTACTTTCAAAGATGCTAAAGAAAACTATAAATAGAAATAAATTCATTATTTAAATTTAAACAACCTGTGCCAGCAGGGCCACATGGACTTCCTCCCTATTTTTTTGGTAAAATATATTTAGAAATATTAGATCGAGTTATTACAATTTAACAAAAAAAGTCAATTAATTACCATGCTCATTGTCAATGCCTGCGCCAACGTAATATAACACCGATCGGTAAGTGGGGTAATAACTAACCTATCCGTGCAACCTAAATATTCGTTTTGGTAACACTGCAAAAATACAGTTTTTTTAAGTCAGAATATTCATTCATACAACGATTTGCAGTTGAGCCGAATAAATGTGTATGTATGGTCCGAATTCAGACAATTGCATGAAAAATAAGTTACGGTTATGTGGAAATGTATTACAATAAAATATGTAATTAGAAAAATGAATAAAGAGTTAGTAATTACCGAGAGTTTTAAACAAAGGTTTAAATAATAATATGTTTGTTATTTAAGATACAAAGAATACATACAAAAGTAACATCGGTGATTGAAACCCATGTTTTGTCGTGGTCTTCTTTGAAATAGAAGCGACATTGCTTCAACCATTCGAAATCGTTAGCCGAACGAACACCCATGCGACACTAAAAATGACATAAATTTTAATAAATGTGGATTCAAAACTTAAAAAACACAACAACAAAACAATACCAAAATATCGAAAATGTCCCGTTGATGCACATGAATAGTGATCAGTGTTTCGAATTTGATTCGTTCGATTTTGGTTAGGTCACGAGTAGTTTGGTCGATGAGTGTGTTCAGAATCTCGAGAAATTTGTTGTTTGTTTCGACCATGACTTTCTTTTCCATTCGTGCTTGAATCAATGCCAACTCTGCATCACGTGTCCATATCATTTGAATACCCAGCAAACCGATCTGAGCGGGCATTTTCTCTAAGAATGGCACCAAGTTGAAATTTGCATCGTTTATATTTGTGTATGCCAATCGAATGATTGAATGCAATGATTGTTGCGATGAGTGCAACAATGATGTTAACCATGTTTCTACAGAGCCTTCGGCTCGAATTGCACGATCGAGTTGAATTACTTCACCTTCAGACGATACAACGGCCAACATTTTGTTGTATTCAATGTCATGAAATTTAACCGAACGCGTATTATCAAATATCGAAAGTAAATGATTTTGAATTGTGTGAGAATCGGATGCTTGTCCCAAAATTTCCAACAAAGCCGGATCGGAGACAAAAAAGAAACGTGGAAACATTGTTCGTTTGCGCTCGAGATATCCGCTCAATGATTTTTGACACAGTTCCAATTGTTCTTGTAGATGTGGCAACAGTTGCTTGAGTAAGTCGTCGCCAACGCAACAGGCCACGACACCCGGCGTTTCATGTGCACGTTGCATTATTTTTTGCCATGATTTGTCGATTTTTGAGAAACGTTTCGCCTCCTTGGGCAATTGTTTTGCAATGTCGCCGCCCACGAATACTGCCTCTAGATATACCCACATATTCTGCACAAGCAACCATCGTTCGAGAATTTCATTCGAATTCGACAGGTCATAAACCCATTGCTGGATTTGTTTGCGAAAAGGTGCATTATAACGATTAGACATCAAACTTCCGAGGATCATAAGACTGTCCTCTAATTGTGTAATCGTCTCTGCCGTGGTGTCACCTCGAAGAAGCAGTTCACCACGGTTATTGAATGTCATGAACTGGAGTTCGTAAACAGACCACTCGTTTGTAACGACCTTCAATTTACTCTCAATGTCCTTCTCTTTTATGCTACTGATACAAATATCTTCGATATTCTCTTTGTACTGCCTAATTGGCGCCTCAAGAATATTTTTCAGTGAAAATCCAGCCGTATCGAATTCGAATGTAAATCGACACACCTCCATGATTCGTGCCCAATGACGGGGTTTCATAGCTTTGTTTGCCATTAATTCCAACAAAGGGCACATATCGTTGAAGTCGTCTGGTGATTGAGACAAAACAGTATTTAATCGATTTTTATGAGATTTTTTAAAATATAAAATAAGTAAGTTTTGTGCACTTTATTAGAATTATTTCACTGATTCCACAAGTGCAATGTCTTACCTATGGTTGCTTTGAGCGCGTGGAATGCCGGCCATTCTTTTAATGCTTTCGGTAGTTTGCGACAACGATTTTGGAACTCCATCAATTCGTTATTGATTTCCTCGATGTCAATTTCATTCCATGGTATGCTGTAGTAGCTGCTCACACGATCAATTACATCGTTATACAATTTATACAATTTCTGCAAGAGATTCAATTCTTTTCGTATCTGTCCCAATTCCGGATAATCCGTTTGAGGTAAACCGAATAGCTCTTCGCCACTTTGATACGTCTGTAATCGGCGCCATAGTCCCTCAAATCGATTTTGGAAGAGAATCAATTTGTCCGAAGCTTCACGTGGAGTAAGACCCGTCTGCATTGGACCGGTATTTCGATACTCGTTCACATAATCAATTTTATCGGCCTTGAATTTCAGATATGCCAAAACCGATATGTTAATACATTTTTATTATGATCTAGATTAGGATGCTATCAACTATTAAGACCAATATAAGTATTATGTATTCAGATTGATCATAATACTGAGTATTACAAATTATGATTGGTCTTAATGGTTAATAAAGCATTTTTCTGTAGTAAGTATTAAGATATATTAATACTCCTATATTAATGGGGCATCTATACCTTGAAAGTGTCCAGATTTTTAAATAGATCCGATTGGAACGCTGGTTGCATTTCTATTTATGGAAAATCCAAAAGAAAACGTTATCGTCGATAAATTATCGATTTTAATTTTAATAAAGTGATTAAAATAAATAAGATATCACCTAGTAGTTTGCATTGTGATTGAAGTGCTCTGGCAAGCAATTTATTAAATGTGTATCGTAAATTGTCGACTTGATCAAAGTGCTCACGATCAACGGCGACCTCATATCTTGTCAAAATATTAAATGCTTCCTGTGTATTAAAATCGAATGAGACAAAATGAAAGTATTGACCATAAAATCCAATTGCAACTATAGAATACTAGCCTCAATCGGTTCAATTTTCAATTCCATATCGACTTCTTGTTCACGTATTTTGGCCAGTGTGTCCATTATCATTCTCACATCATCCAAATCGCGAATATTTCGATCTAATTTCCTATCCATCTCATTGATTACCGCATAAACATAATCCATTTCTCGTTTGTATTTCTTTTTCATCGCTTGTCCAACTTTATGTGTGCATGCTGAAATTTATTTAAAAATTGATTTCTGAAATCTCGAATATTTCTCATTATATCATCATTTTTCTGCTTACATTTAATTTCAACAGCAAGACCGTATTTTAATTTTTCCGTGGAAACTGCAATGCAATTGCATAAATGAACGAAATCCGTTTCGATCAACAAATTGGCGTCCAATTGAGCCAAGCAACTCAACGTTGATTCGAAATCCAAAAGCCCCATTTCCATTAATTCACGAGTGCTTTTATCATTTTTCCACAGGAAATGGTATGGTTTCCAACGTTTGACAAATGTGTTCAATTCGGGTTTAACCGATTTTGTGCAATTGGCTAGTAAATTTTGTATTTTAACCACTTCTTTATTTTCCATGACGAAACTATAAAAGCTTTTCGTCATGTGTGGCATTTGAGGGCGTTCCTCGGATTGCAAATTATAAAGCTTACGTCGACGTGAACGTTTATCATCCTGTTCGGAACGTCGTGGCTGTCGAACGTGACTTTGAGAGGACTACAATCAAATGAAATGAAATTTTAAGATGATACACATTGGTTATTTGATAATTTTTCATAAATATTCGTCACCTCTTTTCCGGAACTCCATTGTGCAACGCCTTTTGAAACTCCCGTTATATTCTTTCCAGCCGTGATGAGTGCTTCTTGTAAATCATCAAGTGTTGGTCGAATTACAACGTTCGGTATCATTAGAATCGAATTTACTAAAAATATGGGTTTCAGTTTTTCCGACGAAGGTGGTTTTACTTTCGCAGTCGATGATTCGTTGATATCATTTTCAACCTCTTCGATAATAAATCGTTTTCGTAAGATATCCAACGACGATCGAGTGACTTTTATCAACACATCAATAACTTTCCGACTATAGTAACGGCGCATTTCAGATACTGCATTACTTACCATATCTTTCATACCTTTTGGTTTGGTGCCATTCAAGAATGAATTGCTATTATTTAATCATACTTCAAAAATTCTTGATTTCTTTTATTCAAATTACCTTTTGGCAAACTATTATTTGCAGACAATAAAGATACCGGATTATCGAAACATGACCAAAGGATACTCCAGTCCTGTGATTGGCCCGTGCCTCCTGATTCGTCGCCATTTTCCTTTGAACGTATTGTATTCATACGCGATTCCTCTGATTTGAGAAAAGCAATTTATGGTAAAGTGCATAATTTTATCATTAAGCAAATATACTGATAAAAGTAAAAATCCAACCTGGAGCAATGTCATCGCTTTCAGTGCTCATCATTGATTTAAACTTTTGGGTTGCATCTTGAACCAAATTTAACACCTCTTCAACAGCCTCTGAAACCATTTGACTTTTGCGGTTTAATTCAATCGCTGCCAATCTAGTTCAAAATGAAATTCGAATTTAATATTATATCGACAGTCGACACCTTGGTCGACACACTATTAAATTTAACGCACCGACAAGATTCTTCATTCTTTTCCAAGAATTCTTCAATCGTCCATAATTCGTCGCCGGACGGGAGAGTTTGCAATGAAATGTCATGCATTGATGTTAATACATTTAAAATGCGATTCGCATAAATATCATGAACGCGTACAACCAGCACATCGAACGTTTCAATGGCATTTTTACACTTTTCATAGAAATCCACCCATCGTGGATTGGTCCACTACAATAATGAAATCTTTGTCGTTTATTTTCTATTTTCGTTTCATTTCAAGCGATTTACCTTTATTCGAGTCAAGCCCGGCTTCAAAAGTGATGTCAATTGAACCAATTGTGGTAAGAAAAGCGGACGAACTTCAAGCTTTACTTGTTTTACTGTTTTTAAGAACAAGTTGATTAATTCCTAAGCAAAAGAAACAAAATAAGGTTTCAAAAAATGTTATTATTAAATACGTTTATCGAACAGCTGTTCACGTCGTGAATTGTCTTACATTTAGTGAATCTTGAATGGTGTAAAAGTGTTGTTGCTTTGCAAATAATGTTGCAGCAACGATGGGTAGTTCAATATTCATTTTCGCCAAGCATGTAGCCTCTCTTATCAATAACGGAATAGTTGGATGTAAATTAACATACAATCGTTCATGTTGAAGAGCCAATACCGGTTGAAGAAGTGCAACGTCGGCCACAGCCACATCTTGATCTAACCAAATGTTCACCATTTCTTGTTCGTATTCGGCGAGGATGTTTTTAACTGAACTGTACTTATTTTCGAGATCTTTGGTTGTCGGCAGTGTTTTTAATACAGCATGCGATGTTACACTTGAAACTAACTCCGTTAAATGACATTCCAGTGCGCGACACCATTTAATTCTACCTGAAATAGGCGCAAGGGTCCGTGGCAGCGGTGGATCGTCACGTTGTTTGCGAAATAATGTCAAAATTCGTTGAACTTCTTTTTCACTGTACTTCAGAATACGTGCGTATTTATCTTGCATCATTGTCAAGGGTATCTTTTCGCTAACCTATTTATGTAAAAGTCAACTGTTACTCGTAATCCACTTTTTTTTTTAAATCTAATGTGTTTACCTTTTCGAATCGAATTAAAAATCGCATACATTGCGGCGTTTCCCAAACAGAATCGAAATTCGACTCAATCACAGTGCCAATCGATGTTTTTAAAGCATCAGTTTTGGCTATAAATGCGTTGTAGTCGACATTAAACTCCGGATTGCGATGATCCAAGTAATCATAACGTTTTGAAACAACAAGCTTTTTGGCCTCATCAAATTGTGCCATTGCCTCTTCGAGTGCCTCGCCCAGCAATAGTCCTTCCAAGCGGCGAGCAAACAGATGATTATAGTCGTCGATTAAATTGAACATTGCAATTATCTTTGATAATCGGTCACAGAATGTATCAAATTTTCCGAAAACGAAATTTTCGGAAAAGCCAAATGGTGATCGGTTTGGCAAAAAAGGCTGTTCACGTACACCGTAATACGTTTCTCGATACATGTTATTCAATTTAATACAATTGCTCAATCGAGTTCGCACCAAACTTCGATCTTGAGACCAAATCGTCTCTTTTCCACGAAATGTTATATACGATTTACATGTTTCAATCATTTGATTGGTTATCTAAATAAAAGCATTGATTAATGTGCGCGGTAACAAAACAGCGAATACCATACTCACCTTGACCATTAAAGATGATGTGCGTTCAGAAGTATTGTAAAATTGTGAGACACTATAAATTAAGCGAACTGTTTGTAAAAGTCCCAAAATGGATTCTTTCATATTTACTGGGTCATCTAAATAGAGTGCATGACAACTACTTTCGATTGCTTGAATAAATTTCGAATTGTCGCGTGCTTCATTATAGCAAAATGTAATCTTTTTATCTGTTTCCTTCCATTCTTTCATCACCTTCGAATTGGCTAAATTCAAGCATTGTATGGTGCATTGAGTGTCTCTATCCTGTATCATACAAAAAAAAATGGAAAAAGACAAATCGTTCATAAATCGTTTATAATGACGTAAATATGGCTCGAAACGACACCTCTAAGTGTGATAAAAGCTGTGAAAATTGAGCTGCTCTTTTTTTCCAATACTCTAATTCATCCTGTGGCCCACTTGTGTCATTCTCTTTCCGTAATTGTTCACTTTCCATGAGTACTTTTGCAACATCTTTGATCCAATTTAAAACCCGTTCTTCGAGCTCACCGCAAAATTCCTTGTTCGTTGACATCTCTTGCACTTCGGTGTTGATGCCGGTTTTTGGAAACAATGTTTTACCATCGTCGAATACATTTTTGTTCTGGCACACCTGTTCACATACACGAAGTGCACTGCAAAATGACCGTAGGCTCGGCAATAATTGACTTTTAATTAGACTACAGCCCATGTCGTCATCATCAAGTTCAGTGTTTGGATATGCCAATGCTTGCATGAACACGAATTCAACAATTCGTTCAATTGACGTCACTAAACCAACTCGTTTTGCATCTATTAACCCGCAGTACCTTTGAAATAAACAAAAAACAAAAACAAATAAAAACGTATTGTCCGGAACTATTCGGTTATAAAAATAAAATTCGGTGCGAATAAATTTGTTGTCGGACACCTCATAACAAGTGTTATGATTTTTTCCCTAATTTTTAATCAATTGATGGCAGATAATATATTAATTTATTCATAGAAAATTGTCAAACATATATGATGACTATAGAGTCCAAGTGGAAATTGTGCGGAGGAGTTTAAAGTCTATGTATACGTACGAACTGACTATATTGACTTTTCAAGGTGATTCAAACCATATATGGCAAAGCAGAAAAAAAATCAAAATGATACGTTAAATGGTTACTACGGCGCCACGATGCTTTCAAATGTTAGATAGCAATTTTAATCATTTCACAAGCGTAACAGAGTGAAAATTCCATTGGTAATGGAATTTTATCCAATCACCGTATGGCTAACTTATTTGCATGAATTAATGAAAATCATTGAGTTGGCATCATCCGGAATGGGGTTGTCTGTTCATATACGTTTGCTGCTAAAAGCAAATCGAATTATGATTGGAAATTTACCACTAATATTGACCATTGAAAAAAAAAACACGAACGAATGGAGTTGACATTAACCCCAAAGTTTCCATTGAAATTGGACTACACATTACAGCTTATGCAAAATGTATCTCTACAACTTGATAAGATAATAAAATGCACATGAATTGGTGCCATTTACTTACAAATCCTTCTGAAAACCCTCTTCAGGCAAAGGTTTGGCCGTATTCAACCGAAAGATGTAAATACAAGTGCCGGTAAATGGACAGTTCCATCCGTCAGTTAAAAAAAGCTTATGTTTATAGACGGGCCCAGCGGGTGTTGTTCCTGTAACAAGCAGTGCATATTTGATTTATTAACGTGCAAAACGTAAACATACGGAAACAATATTGAAATCATTGACAGTCACAAGATTTTATGGATTTACAGTTTTTGTTTTTACAGTTTTGCTCACGTAACTTGATTTTTTTAAATAAAGATGATGACGTGGAAAGATTTAGGTTTGCTCACCTTGTGGCGTTTTCGATGTATTTGATGTTCCAGCCGCTCTTGATGGTCCCGCTTTTGGTTGTTGATCTTGCTGTGCTATCGAATCTGGTTCATCTGATTCTTGATAAAACCACATCAGTTTGTTCCGCATATTCGGCAAAAACAGCTGATTTATTTCATCCAACTGTCCATTTAAAATTAATCCACACAAAAGAACATTTGTGTAATTAATGCAAATTGATACACTAATCCATGTCATAGCCCATGACATTGAAATATAATCAAAACTTTATTGAATACGCATATTTAATGTAAACGAATGTGATTCAAAGGATTGGAAATAAGATTATCGTGACGGAAATGAACGAATCTAGAAATCATTGTCGCAATCGCCCAAAACGAAGAAGATTTACATTGAACATCAAATTAGATAATTGGTAATTGAAGCAGAGAAATTGTTTTTTCTGTACATTGGCAAATGGATTTGTACGTAAAGGTACCAAATAAGTCTGTTATTAAAGGGTGGGCGCGTAGTTTATCGTCATTTAATAGGCTCATAATTGAGTAATAACTGTTAGTTTGTATTTACGACCGCTAAAGTGCTTTTGTTTGTTTATTCATAGTGAAATTAGTTTGGTGACGAGAGAGTATCGTTGTTTTTGTTTGTTACACTCACCATATCACCTTCAAAAATGTGATCCATTATTTGATGTCGCGGTAATTGGGTGCCATCCATGAGGAGTTGAAATACGAACTCCAGCCGGGGGTCCATTTCCCCTCGCCGTGCTTTGCGTTCGCATTCTTCGCGTCGCCTCTGTGCTTCCGGATCGACGTCCATACCGAATTGGTTGAATTTTATTTTAAATTATGTCGATTGCAAAAATCAAAAATGTTGGACAAAATGGAACAAATTACAAAAGTCAAAAATACATTTTAAGCTGCTGCCCAGCAAAATTCAAAAAAATCTCCCGAATCTTATTTATTAAAATTCTTTTGGTTTCTTCAGCTTTCACACAGTGTATTTACAGGATATTGTAAGAATGTGCAAAAATGACGATAGAAACAATGTAACAAAGTGAATATATACGCAAAAAATGTCGTGTATGCAAAAGTCGGGAAAAGTTTCAGTTTAAATTGAATATGCAGTCAATATTCTTTTTTCGATGTTCTGCTGGAAAAGAATCGATCAAAATAGAAGCAAAGAGAATTCTCAATTGAGACTGTGTATTATACAACCTATTTTGTTTAGGCTATTATGATTTTTAGGATTTATTTTTATACATTTTATTAGAAAGAAATTGTAAGCAAACATAAAAGCGATAAGTGCAATTTAGAACAAATAAAGAAAATACAAATAACCACATTTATTAACAGTAATAAAGAAATTATGCAATATAGCATGCATTCTTTGGAGCGGCAGATAAATATATTGATTTATCAGTTCTTGATTTGCTTGATAAGTCAATTTTTGACTTATTTCACATAGCTCGTATCTTATTATGATTAGAAAACACGAAGATGGTGCATGATTTCACTTTCAATCCTCTCAAAAATCCAATGAGTAATATTTCATTTGATTATTCATCCGCATGTGATTCAAACACTTGGAATGTAGAGACTTCGTAGACTTTATGTCACATTTCATTATTACAATTTATATCAGTAAAAACACACCATTTCTATGAGCCATAAAATATGGAATGTATATTGAAGTATTGAAGTATCATAAATCCTCATAAATGTCCCCTAAAGAATGTTTGGTGAAAAAAATACATCGAACAATATTAAAATGTGGAAATTGAGAACCGTTTTAACTAAAAATCAAATGGGTTTCAATGTCACGGTTATCGAACTGCAACAATAACAACTATTCCAAACTACTCAAAAACGAAAAATGTTATAATAAGGCGCCCGTGTAGCAAATACAATTGTATAATGGTTATCGTATCGTGATTCGCATTTTGACTATCAAACCAATATCAGTAGACCAAGTTAGAAAAAAATTGTCATTGTCACAGTGATATTGTCTACAAAAAACTACAACTGTCGACGCACATTGTGAAAACTATAGCGAGATTAAAAATTGGAATGTTTCTAATCTCGTTTAAGCAATTTAGTTTCAGTCTTATGACCTAGATATTATTGGAGGAATATCACACTATTATCACACAAATCATGAACCGGTAGCATGCTATAAATCGGATGGTGCTATTTCTACAGAACAAAACTCAATGAATGTTTGATAAAATGTCTGATAAATTCAAAACTGTAAAGTTTAAAAATAGCTTAAATTTACAGTCAATGAACCAAATATTTTTGACAGTATGGCCCCTAGCAAAGTTTTTATCATATGCTATGATTGATATTAATATAAATGACGAAATGTTGCATATGTATTGCAACGTTTGTATTAATTGTTTTTATGGCTTAAAAAAATTAAGTGTGCGATCGATTATTTTTTGTTTATAACAGGAAAAAGTCGGTCATCTATTCCATATAAACATAGAAGATCTTAAAATTCCAGTATATCTCAATTGCACACTTATCCACTTCAGTCGAAGTGATTTTTTTCTTGTTGTGGAATGAGCTGAAACAAATGAAGTGTGCCTACCAATAATCACTTGCAATTCTATATCTTCCACAAATCTATGATGATTGATTGATCGAAATTACTTATCAAAGACTAAAGCGCAATTTAATTTACTTTAAGTTGAGTTGAGGTTATTGCGTTTTCAAAATTCGCATGTTCAATATCCTGTGCGAATAAGACGTTAAGTGGCTTCAAAAAAATGCTTGCATGATGATCTCATCTGGTCAGCTGATCAACCGAATACTTCCGATAACAATAAGTAAATCATCATTACCAAATCAATATGTTGCGAATTAATTTATGATCACTTAAAAATACTTGCTGCTAATTTCCGACCAAAAGTTTTATAGTATTTCAATCAGAGCTCACATACATTGAACTCATAATTTTGCACTTTACACCTTTAGCGCGACGAATGAATTGCGTTTCACGCACTTCTTCCATTGTCTACATTTTGATAGATTGCTATTTTCCGGCCAATCTGATAAGCGGATAAGCGACATAGTTGAATATTAAAAAAAAAACAGTAATCCATCGATAGGGATTTGCGATATCATTACAAGCATCTAAACTTTCAACGCTATATAAATGAATCAAATTGTTCGGAAAGACATTCAGTTGTTCGAGCACAAGCGACACACAACTTTTGTTGAGGGCAATTATTTGTTTTCGAAAGAAAATCAGTTTCTAAGCAACTCTTAAAAATGTTCATTGCAAAAGTCTGTCTGTTGATGTCAACAGTTTTGTTCGTCTCAGGTATTTTTTCGGAAGAAAAATTGCTCAAAATTCAATAATCAAAGTGCTAATCAATTGTTTTATTCCTGTGTTATGTATATATAGGCGCATTTGTCGATTTTGAACTACAAAAACCGCAATTGGATGGAAGAATTGTTGGCGGGTAATTATAATTTTCTTAGATTTATTCGATTATTTTCATTCGATACAAAAAAAATTGTAAATTTGAATTAATTTGGATTTTCTTGTTTAGATTTGAAATTGATATCACCCAAGTGCCATGGCAAGCCTCACTTCAAACGCGTGGTCAACACTTTTGTGGTGCATCTATAATTTCTGAAAAATGGCTGTTGACTGCTGCCCATTGTACTGCGTAAGTTTCATAATGGTTTGATTGATACAAACTGATATTGTTTGTTGTTTGCATATTTCCGTTAATTTAAACTGCTTTTTATTGCCACAGTGCTGTTCCCAACGCAAAAAATATTCTCGTCCGAATTGGTAGCTCATTGTACAGCAAGGGTGGTGAAATACACAAAGTCAAGCGAATTGTTCAACACGAAAATTACAATTCGAAAACAATTGACTACGATTTCTCTTTGCTTGAACTTCAAGAAAGCATTGAATTTAATGAATATGCCAAAACAGTTGCATTGCCAAACCAAGAAGAAGAAAAATTAGCCGACAACACAATGACGCTGGTGACAGGCTGGGGTGACACTCATTCGTCTGAATCAAGACTTAAACTTCGAGGCGCTGAAGTACCAATTGTAAATCAAGAAAAATGCATGAAGGCATATCAACGTTTCGGTGGTGTCACCCCACGTATGATCTGTGCTGGATTCGACAAAGGAGGCAAAGGTACTTATCATCGAATAAACGAATGCCATATTAAAGTCATATTTATATTTTGGTAATTTTTCTCTTTGTAATTAGACGCATGTCAAGGAGACAGTGGAGGTCCACTTGTCGCTTTTGATAAGTCCAACGAAAATCCAAAGTTGGTTGGAGTTGTTAGCTGGGGTTATGGTTGCGCTAAACCACACTATCCAGGCGTTTACTCTCGCGTTACAGAAGCCCGTGAATGGATTAATGAACATACTGGACTCTAAGCTTAGTTGTGATACACATCAATTCTTTTTGGTTAAAATTTAACCATCGCAATAATTTGTGGAAAATTTAGATAATAAGAAATCAAAATAAATATAAACAACTCAAATTAACTTAAACAAAATATCAGCAACGTTTTTTTCTCTCTCGAAAATCTTGTAAGAAAAGCAAATACCGATTTTTAAACCATAAATATAGTAGATATCTTATTGGCAAAACGGAAATCATTCTATTGTTTTGCATTTCATCCGATGAATTTAGTTGTAAATATCAAATCTGGGAAGTAGCGAGCAAGAACAACACATTTTTTTCAATAACAAACACTTCATTAAAAAAAATCATTCATGATAATGATAATCCACTTGCCGGATGATCAACATCTATCAAGAAATTTATTAATTTAAACTATCAACCGGTAGCGAGTTATCATATAACCATACAAAGCATAATTTTAATTTAAAGGTAATATATGACTAAGTGCGATATATCGCTTTGAAAATTCTGTTAATAAACAAGTACGTGCGTTAAAAAGAAAAGAATTGCCGGTGCCGGCCGGTGCAATAAAATTCAAAGATAAACTGATTGTTGCTTAATTACTTTTTTGAGTAAATCATTTATAAGAGAAATATTTTGGTGTCATACAGTCATATTCTGAGACAAGCGTGGCACGTTCGGTTGGAATATATTAACTCTTCGACAAAACATTTTATTTTCAAATAGGAACGAAGAAGTAAAATATGTGTTCGAAAATTTACGTGTTTACGTTAATCGCAGTATTAACAGTTCAAATCGCCTCAGGTAAATATTGTTAATCAATTCAAAATGTCGATTGAAAAAAATCTGAGAAATTGTGATTTTCATCAATAGGCGACTGGTCTGGTCGAATCGTTGGTGGTGTTCCTATGTCCATAAAAACAATACCGTATCAGGTATCATTACAAGTTTTGAGTGGGCATAAAACGTATCACTTTTGCGGTGGTTCCATAATAAGTAACAAATTTATTATAACTGCTTGTCATTGTACTGAGTGAGTTTTGCATTTTATATGAAACAAGAGGTGAACATATTCATTCATTCCTTAACGATTACAGCAATTTGAAAACCCAAAACCTCAAAATTTTAGTGGGTACATCTTTCAACAATCGCGGCGGTGAAAAAATCAATGCCTTGAAGATTATTAGGCATCAAAACTACAGTCGGGAAAGTTTAGATTATGACATTGCTGTAATCGAATTAGCGGACCGATTAAAATTAAGTAATTCAATTCAAGCGATTGCATTGCCAAAAGCGAATGAAAGTTTTGCTGATAATTCAATGTGTCTCGTATCCGGGTGGGGAGACACACAACTACCCAGCGCATTCCGATTTCAAAGAAACGCTCTTAGAGCAGTAGAGGTTCCAATCGTGAATCAAGAAAAATGTAACAATGATTACAAAATGCTCGGTGGTATCACCCCACGTATGATGTGCGCCGGGTACGACTTCGGCGGTTTCGATGCGTGCGCAGGTGACTCAGGCGGTCCATTAGCTTGCATCGGACAAAATAAAACTCCAAAACTATGTGGAATCGTGTCTTGGGGCTATGAATGCGCTGCACCTCATTTTACAGGTGTCTACACTCGAGTACAAGTGCTTCTGGATTGGATAAAGGAAAAAACTGGTATATAAATTAACATTTCCAAGTCAAATAACACAATCTTGGAAATGTGATAGGTCTTTATCTCAAACGTGTGATTAATGTATGTTATTAAAATTTTATGATAACCAAACAAACAATTTGGATTGTTGATTTTCTGAGTGGCGCATCAAAATCTTATTTATCATTCGTAAATTATTATAAATGTATAAGAGTAGTTGGGAGGAAGTTTTTCGGATATGTGAAACTTTTTTTAACAACAACCGGAAAAACAGACTAACGTGTGACTTTTTCTTGATTTACAGCTATCTTCCCCTTTTCAAAATAAAAACATTTAAAATTTGTCGAAAATTGAAATTACCCAAGTTTTGTTTATTCAGACACAATTATCTTTGTTATTTGATTGAATCACAACAGGAACATTACTCTGCGTCACATCAAGATATTTATAAAATCAACTGATTCAACATCGCCGTTTACAATAAACGTTAAGGTTTAAGAACAATAATTTGACAAAAAAACAACACATTCCAAATGTAATTTACACAATACATATTTTGGGCTGACGTCATTTTGTAGCTTTGGCAAAATAAACATACTTGCTATTTTAATATATTTGAATCAGAAATGTGTATACGTAAGTTATACAACAGAGTAATCACTCAGCGTTGTTTTTGGCAGTTAATTAAAAAGAAAGCTAAGTGCATTGCGGCAAGCACTGAATTACCTTTTTTAATATGCAGGGCTGTAATTTTTACTCTGTCAGTGTGCGCACATAGTAGTGTGTACACTCACATTCCATGTGCGATGCACACAATGCTTGTATTTTCAATGTGCGACGTACACTTGCACAAAAGTTTGACATCTCAAAGGATGGTTTACAATTTTTGGACAACGGTCAAAAATGTCAAACTTGTGGCTAAGTGTGCGTGCACATTGAAAACACAAGCATTATGTGCGTCGTACATGAAATGTGAGTGTACAGTGTACACACTACTATGTGCGCACACTGACAGAGTAAAAATTACAGCCCTGTTAATATGACAAGTTCAAATAAAAGTGGCTCAAACACGTAAAAAGGCGAAATATGTGCACAGAAAGAAAATAAATTGTGGCATTCGAATCAATAAAAAGCTATGTGAAATTTCAAAATCCAATGGACAAAGGTATGTTTAAAATAAAAAAATGGTTGTTATCTACTACAAATAGATGAAAGCTTGCATGAAAAACATTCAATTTCTTCGTAATTAGATATATTAGTATTATTGGGATACACAAAATTCTTGTTATTATTTGAAAAAGTACAATGAATGCCTTCAGAAAGTAAAGGCACACAAACGTAGTGATGACAACAAAATCATCGAATCCATTATTAAATCGATATCTATGAAAAATGCCTCCACATTGAAATGTTTCAGTATATTTAATATCCAACAATTATAAGATTTTTTTTAGAAATAAATATACTTTTTCCCAATAAATTCTCTATTAAAAATCAAAGAAAGAGTCCTTTACTTGTAAAACATCGCCTTCAGATACATCTTCTTCGGAGTTCTCGCCACTAGAAATGTGCCCGAATCGTTGCTTCAGAACAAACATTCTTAATTTTTAATTACGGACGAAACCAATTAGATTACACCGAAATTGGATTTCATCTGTCTTTGTAATCTTTCACACAACACTTAATCACAAAAATTTAATTCAATTCAAATTGTTGTGTTTGTTGAATTTTCTTTAAAAATGTCCACAAAGTGAATTTTAATGCATTCGTTTGCGGAGGAATTTCTCTTTTGAATGAAAATGGGCACAGTGCGCAGATTAAAAATGTCAAAACAATTATCGATCAAACAGTATGTTAAGAATCCTGCGTGAGCGGTTGCGTTTGTTTACCAGTTGAATAAAAAAACAAACAAATCTCCACCACCTAATTGTAATATCGACCGGTTAGGAAATTCAAAACACACCAGCTGCATTTTTCATCTAGATGTAAACAGACATAATAATATGTGTTGCATTCGATTGAATCGATTGCTATTTCGATCCACAGGTGAATCGTACATAAAAATGCAATAAACTGTTACTATGGTATTGAAGCACCGACTTTTATGAATGAATGAGGTAAATGGTATTTTATGAATGGTTCGATTGACTGAAATATTTACAATAAAACATGAGTAGTCTGATTTTGTTCTAAATACGAATGTTTTATTTAATTCTTAATATGTACAGAGGAGCAATTTTCAGGCTTCGTGTATTTGAGCTGCTTTTTTTCGACATTTTTACTCTGATGATATGACAGGAAATTGTTCTTATACTGTCTTTGAGATAATGACTATCTGTTAAATATTTTTGATCATCTCGGTCATAAAACAATGAATTCAATCGTTTCCTCTATCATTTTTTACTTTGCAATAGGCAACCGATAAGGCGTTCATTGAATGAATGAATACTATTCAATGGAATAATTTAGTCACTCAAAATTTGAACCTTCGGAACGTCCTTGGTGCGTAAGTTTCCAACCATAAAAATGAAGTGCCTACGGTGCGTTTTTCATCATTTGAATGTCTTTCAAGTACACAAATCGCAGGCACAGATCATGCTGATAAAATGATAAAGTGCTCAGGCGGCATAGAACTTCGCTTTTGTATTCAACGGTAATCAGTATATAAGCGTAAGTAAACCTCTCAAATCAATCACAAATTATTTTGCGTTGATGATCAATTTTCTCATTGAAATTAATTTTTTCCTAATTTAGTGTTATAGTGATTTCTCTTGTTCAACATGTTTGTGATGCAGATTTCGAAACTATTATTATTGGTAGTGTGTGTGTCGTGTGCGACAGGTACTTAAAATGAATTATATATTGTGTATTTATCAGTAAACTAAAACTAATTTGGATTTAAATTGAAAGTGTATCGGCCAAAACCTCAGCTCGATGGAAGAATCGTTGGAGGATTTCCCATGAATATCACCCAGGCACCTTATCAGGTGTCATTTCAAATGTATAGCAGACACATTTGCGGTGGATCAATTATTTCATCAAATTGGATTGTAACGGCTGCCCACTGTGTCAGGTAATTTGAAACCGCATCATTTGCTTCAAAATACATTTTGATTAATGTCGAATATTTTCTTCTCCAACATAGCCCTGACTCCTTCAAAGATGACTTATCTATTTTTCAAATCAGAGCTGGATCAACTTCACGAAGTAACGATGGTGAATTGATCAATATCAAGCGAATAATTCGGCATGAAAAGTACGACAATAAACTCACTGATTTCGACTATGCATTGGTGGAACTTGTGGAACCGCTTCAACTTGATGAAACCAAAAAAGTTGTCAAACTACATAACTTTGATGAAATCTTCCCAGAAAATACAACATTGTTGGTGACAGGCTGGGGTGACACACATAATTTAAGCGAATCTCGATCACAATTACGTGGAAGTAAGTAATTCTAATTACTAATTGCTATTTAGATGATAAACTCATAATCATTCTTTTAATTTAGCCGAAGTTCCTCTGTTAAATCAAAAAATTTGCCAAATTGCATACAATGAGGAAATATTAACACCGCGTATGCTGTGTGCTGGATTCGAGAAAGGAGGCAAAGGTACTTATCATCGAATAAACGAATGCCATATTAAAGTCATATTTATATTTTGGTAATTTTTCTCTTTGTAATTAGACGCATGTCAAGGAGACAGTGGTGGTCCACTTGTTGCATTTAGTCAAGATGACGGAGAGCCGAAATTAGTTGGCATTGTGAGCTGGGGTTATGGATGCGCAGAACCAGAGTATCCAGGCGTTTACTCGCGAGTTCTGGCAGCACGAAATTGGATATATACACACACAGGAATCTAGTCATTTAGTTCTTTTTAAGAAATTTGTCGAAGCCTGATCATGCCCGTAGCTAACAACACCTCTAATGCGTATTCCGAGTACTAATTGACGTTTGTGACAATATGGCCGTCACGGTTTGGAAAATTCATAATGAATCGATTAAACTGCGTTAAACTGTTAAAATAAAACAGAAATAAATAGATTTTAATTTTTTACATTTTTGAAAATAATTTTTTTTTTTGTTTTTTAATTTTGTGAGATTTTCTGTCCACAATATTCAAAAATATTAAATCAATAAAAATGAATTGGTTGACATAACCTCACTTTCGTGTCACAATCGTGATAAACCGATTAAATAATTATTAAAACAGTAGAAATAAAAATATTTTAATTTTTTACATTTTTAAAAATAAAAATTGTTTGTTTTTTTTTTGTAGTTTCCAGAAGTTTCGTGAGATTTACTGCACAATATTCAAAAATATTAAATTAATAAAAAATGAAGTGGTTGACATAGCCTCACTTTCGTTTTAATAATTATTTGATCGGTTTATCACGATTGTGACACAAAAGT